GCATCGAACAGTGTGGCAAAGTCCAGCCACGCTTCCTTAATTGTCGGGGACTTCAATTCGAAGGTTGGCTGTGTCATTGCTGTTTGTGTGTCTTACATGTTCACAACGTTTTACCTCATGAGCATTTGCCTCACTCCGCTTGATGTCCCACCAGTCCGGATGCACCCCTGCTAGCTTTCGTCACCTACCCTCGGCCTCAAGTTAATAAATGGGCTGGTGGGGAGGAAAAAGAGGAAAACTCTCCATTCTATTGGACACACATCTACTTGGACAAAGACTTGGAAGGGTCGAACCAGTCTTTCTTGGCCTTTGGCCGCCGCACGTGCGATGCAACGAGGCATAGACCCTCCGACCGAACTCGACCGAGGCATCAACTTGAGGGCCCAGCTCTTGGCATACTACCAACGTGGCTGCCCGAGATGCGCCCGTTCCAGACGAGTCCGAAGTGCGGATGGACGTAGTCCGACCTGACTCCCGTCCGAATCCGTCCGGACCGTACACCAAGCACCGCGACCTATGGTCGTTTCCAATCAAAAGAGAGGTCATGTCTGGGCTTCTTGGCTTCGGCTTTTGGAAAGAGGGGGTGAAGGCGTCTTCGCCTTCGCGTCTTCGCGTTTCATGTTTCGCGTGGCACCAGGCTTCTACCGTGCACCACTCATGACGCTGTGCCTCATTGGCAAAGAGCCCCTGAGTGAACTACAAGGCGCTTGACGCCCCGTGCGCGGTGCGAAAGACACTGGCAGATCTGCGGTTCAAGAGAGCTTCAGTGTGTACCCGAGCATGGCAGGCCGACACTTGCCTGCACCCCCCGTGGGCTCTGGTGACCCGTGGCTGCCCCACTTCCGCCGGTCCGGACCGCTCCGGCAGGCTATGCGGAGCGGTTCTTTGGGAAGATCCCGGGCGATGGAGGCGATGGGGGTCGGGGTTTTGGGGTTTTGGGGGTTTTGGGTTTTTTTCGGGGTTTTTAGGGGGCTATTTGGGGGGTCCAAGCGGCTTTTGCTCTCCGAAAGGGGGGTGAAAGCTAAGCTCGCTCCAAGCAGTGAAAGAAGCCGCAATAGGGTCCATCTGGCGACCGGGGGAACGGTGTGTTTGTTCTTCTTTGGTAGTCTTCCAAGGAGCTCGGTGATTTCCTCAAAAAAGCCCTCCGACATCAACACATCCCACACCAGAAGCTGAAAGCAGCTCAAAAACCTGACTTTACCCATGAGGGTTTTGAAACTCATGGGAGGAGCTCCCAGGTCTGACCATTTCTTGCAGGTCTTTTCCACCCACCCATGGACGTCCTCACCGCATTGGACCTCCTCACCCTTCATCTCCAGGTAGTCTTCCGTTTTCGTCACGCCTTCCAAACCAACTGGGTGCCCTGTTTGGCGAAGCAAAGGACTGACCGCGCTCCGCGAACCTTCCGCGCCGTTCTCCGGGCAGGTGAGGAGCCGGAAGCGGCCTATGGAGACCGTCCCCTCTTCTTGCCCTCGGCCTTCACCCAAGGCCGAACACAAAGTCGGCCGAGCTCGCTCCGTTCTTGCCGTCGGGGTTGCGGATAAGACCAGCCCAAAAGGTCAGAGGCAGCACTTCGGATTCGAAGTGGCTTGAAGTGGATGATGGATCCGAAGCCAAAGGGTTGCACCGCTCTAGCCTTCCATGGACTTGAATTCGTGACGTTCCCACTCACCCGACCCATTTTTTTCACAGGCCCAAGACTAAGACCTCACTTGAAAATGCCAACCATCCGACTCAATTGGAGGTCGCTCGGATTGACTTGTTTGCTTCGCGCCGCTTCGGTCACGCTCCGCGCACCTGCGGAAGACACGTCGTGGCCGTTCAGGCGTGGAAGCGGTGCCCGTGGCGGACGTGCGGTCGCTTCAGGCGCGAGGTCGTGTGTTTCGCGTGAGAGAGAGAGAGAGAGAGTAGGGACTGTACAGGGGGTGCAGGTCAACCAGAGATCAAGAGAGTTTGGTGCATCTGAGCCTGCCAAACACCTCCTGCTCGTAGTGTAAGTTCTTGAAGTTTCTGGAAACTCATTTGGTTCAACCAGCCCATTTGTCTGACCATCCATTTATAATGAACTGTTCGGCAACGAACCCCCCGAGTTGGTTTTTGAGGCCTAGGACCTTAGGAGAAAGGGTGGTTTCACCGCCACTTCTTAGCACCAGGTCCTTGCACTTGCCATTCGTGTGCCTGTGCATTTTGGGACTCCTATTTCCATGCATCCTCCCCCAAGCCACGGACCGTTCCATCTGGTCTCCCTGCCGGCGCCGCCCGCTGGATGCCGGATGGGAGGCGTCCGGAGCAACGACGTTTCGATCTCCACCGGTCGAAGGTGGTCTTCCCGGTCGACTTCGCGCCCCATGGCCACGTGGTGCAGCTGGAGGAGGCACCACCAGGACCAGAGGCCGCGACGGGTGACGCACGTGTCTTGGCACCATGTGTGTGGCCGTCCGTGGGATGGGGCGGGGCACGAGTCCAGGGCCTCAAGGAGTCAAGGAGTCGGGATGCAAAAGAATGGTGAGTGCAGGTGTGTGAATTCGAGCAAGCTTCCGCCGGTGATCTTCACCGTTGGAAACTAGGTTCCCTTTTTGGGGGGGCTCCCTGCTCCGTTCCTTCAAAATAGAGATGGACTAGTAAGGCCCTAGCTGCTCCGTTCGTAGCGATGCACTTGTTCCTAGTAGCGAACCTTGTTACTAATAGTAAGGCACTTGTTACTACTAGCGTGGCACTTGTTTCTAGTGTTCAAGTTATCCTGAGAGCATCGAGTCGGATCTCTTTCTCTGTTCTTGATCCAGTCGCAGTTTGGGTCTCCATAGGATCAGCCTGAGAGTGAGGGCCCATTGTTCCACCGGTTTTCCAGGTTCGTGTCTCCGGGTGACCTTGTCCGTTGGTTTTTGTGTCTGAGTCTGTTCAACCCATGGCTTGTGGGAAAAAACACGCCTACTGCAGCTAAGGTGGACCTTTTGGGGGGACACCTGGTCAGTTTTGCCACCAAACTGCAGATGTCCCTGGCAAGGAGAACTCAGGTTAAATCTTTTCTGCTATATGTTTTGGGTGTTGTGCTGAAGGAGGCAACTTTTGCTCTACCTGGATAATCCATGGAATGAACTCTTCACCTAACTTTCTCCAAGTTTGCCCTTCGATGAGATCGTTCAACAACGTTTCAATCGAGTAAGTCAGACTCGAAACTCGTCTCCAGCGCAATTCCGAAACCTGTCAAGCAGGCTCGCTTGTCGGGTGAAAGCGTGTGCATTTTCTCTGAGTTTGGCCCTGCGACTGAGTCGAGGATTGCCCATCCGACTCACTGAGATATTGGATATAAGTGGACATTGGAGCTTCAGATGTTCTGGTCTTTTTCCCCCACCAGCAGCATTTCTGTTGGGGTTCAATCTCACGGACTGGGAGTGGTGTACAGTCGAGTGCAGAATATGCTGTTGGGCAGCGTCCGTTTCGTCATGGATTGGGGAACCCAATCCAGGCGAGACTCATCAGCTGGTTGGGCAGAACGAGAGATGAAATCCCTGACCCGGTGGCCCAAATCCCCAAAACCAGCAGTTCCATGGAGGAGTCGGGGTGCTGAGCCCACTGGGAAGGAAGAACTGGGGTGCCCGGAAACATGTTCCCCTGGCACATCCATGCACGGAAGGGGTCTTAGAACCACATCGGACGGACCATCACATACTTGTGAGAAGATCTCCCCCCTCATCGCGTCGATCTGGCCTGTTCAAGAGGCCGTAGAGAGTGCATGGTTCTTTTTGCCTGAAGTAGAGACAGCCAAGCTTTTCGGATGTTGGACCAGCCACCCACCTCTTCTCCAAGGCATGCGTTTGGATCACTGGCGTTGGTACAATCCCAGCTCGCATGTCACTTGGACCCGAAGGGGTCGGACGAAGGACTAAACGGCTGGCTTAACGGTCGGCTGGCTGGACGACGTGGAGTGTTTCTCGCCGGACGAGCCGGGAGAAGACGTAGCGGCTAGCGAAGGTAAAGATGGAAGATGATGAACCTGAACATTGGATCTTTGGAAGAGTAGCTTTCGCCCCTAAAACCCATGGTTTTGGCAGGTTCGGTCTCTGGAAGATGGCGTTTCGTACTTTTGTGTCACCGTTGAGATCCGTAATCACCTGGGCGGTGCACAGAGTTGTTGTCTTTGGGTTTTCGGGGCCCAGGGCTGAAAGGGTGCCGACTGAGACACAAACACCTAGACCTAGCGTCCCTGCTCCTAGTAGCGATGCCCTTTGCTCCTAGTAGGAGTAGGGCCAGGAGCCCCTAGTAGCGTCCTTGCCCCTAGTACTGGATATGTTGAAGACTTTAATCAAGAACCCTTTGGGACGTGATATCAGAAGGATGGGACACCTCTTCGCTTGTGGCCATAGCTTGTCAAGGATTCCCGAAGTGCGCCAGAGTTTTCCACCTCGCCCAAAAACCCACTCGCATCCCCCCAAACCTGCAATTTCCACCCACGCACACGGACCAGTTGTCGGTGCTCTCGAACGCCAAAAAACACACGCATGCTCGATCGGAGCATCGTTGGGCCTAGCGCAGCTTGAGCGGAGGATCGGCCTAGCGCAGCACGCTACGACGCCACGCGCTACGCCACGCGCAGGTGGGCGCCCTCTTGGGTCACGAGGGGCCCAAGAGTTTGACGTCGCTCCTCCGGAAGCGAGGCGCACGGTCGCCTTTTCGGGATGGCCCGGGGTGGGATGGCCGCCGGGGATGGTTGAGGATCGTTCGCGAAGACATGGTTGTTGAATGTTGTTGACTTATTCTTTTCGAACGTGACGAAATGGTGAAGCGTAGGATTTGCTGGATTCTGCTGGATTTGTTTGGTGAGACGAAGGACTTCTCCTGGTGTTAAGGGAAGATGTTGCAAATGGACCCATTTTCATTTTATCATTGGATCATATTAGATCTGGATTTCTGTGTGGATGGAGCGAGGTCTAGGTTTGAGGGCCTTTGATATTTGCAGCAGCACAGTTTTCGGTCAAGAACGATGCAGGTCTCAAGATTGAATAGTTTGCACTCAAGCAGCCTGAGGATGTTCACTGCCAAGCAGCTTGCAGACATTGACCTTTGGATGGGTATGTGATCAGACTTTGGAGGGTGTCAGAAACTGGGCAGTCCTGGTCCGGCCATGGGATTTCGAGCGAAGGCACACGACATGCGCATGTCTCCCCCAGCCCGGGGGATTGCGCCCCGCCCACACCACCCGCTGCCCACACGGATCGCTTCCTACGCAGGGTGGATCACAGAGCTGGAGGTGGGTGGCGCCGACAACACCACCACCTTTGCAATGCTGCGAGGGGCCTCAGCTGGGCGCGCCTGTGGGTTGGGTTCTACCGGGTTGCACGGTTGGAGGGGTTGAAGTTGAGATGCGCTTCTTCTTCAGGCGGGTGTGTATCTTAATATAGATCTTAATGGGGAGATCCCCAACCAATGGGTTTTGTGGATGTCGAACACTTGTCGAACACTTGTCGAACGCAGGATGCTTGGGTTTGGACTGAGCATTTTCTCTACGGCAGGGGCTTGATTGTTTGGTGGCTTCGATGCGATGAACTCTGTGCGGGACGAAACCGGCGTGATAGAGACACCGGAGAACGAGTCGGAAGACTCGGAACACCCACATCTCCGGTTTCAAGGACCAGGACAGGAACCCTCAGCCCAGTCCCGAGCCACTCACGTCGTGGACCTTGACTACTGGTGCAACAACCCTTGGTGGACCGGGACCGGGTGGACCGATGCGCGCGACCGAGCCACGCGAGCGACCGCGGCTAGGGTGGTGTCCATGGAGCTCACGGACGAAGGCTTTCGGCAGAAGGACCGGACGCGCCCCTCGCGGTCGTCGCGACGCGGGCGCGCTAGGACCGGGGCGGCCCAGATGGCGAGGGCGTCACGGCTGGCAGATGTGGATCGGAGGGTCTGAGAATCCAACTCCAAGAGGATTGTACGGGGGTTGCTGCCCGGGCGGATCGGAACGACTGCTTTGATGGACTGGACACAGGCTCTGCTGCTGCAGTCTGCTGGGTTGGGGTTGACTCGATGTTTGGGCGATGGCAAACGTCTGGAACGGAGCCCAGGACGAGATTCTGAAGATCCTCTTTGGCTACCTGAACTTCGTGAGACAGTTGACGGAGTTTCCCAAGGAGATGACCTGTCATGCGAGAACTTCAGCTCGACGACCTGTTTGGCAGTTCCAAGCCGGTAGTCACTAAGGACTCATGTGCTACTGAGACTGTGAGGTACACACTAAGGGATATGGGGTTCCCTTCTTTCAATTAAGAAACACCAGGTGAGTCAGTTCTGTTTGAGGTTTGATACTGGGACACTTCTATCACCGCGGGTGATCCAGCGTGGTCTTTGATTCGGGAGGTTGCACAACCACAGGCCCGAGGACACGTGACACACGTGACATGTCAATGCCGCTCAAGCTACTGGCAATGCTGGGAGTCAAAGACTGTATAAACCTTTACTTCGGTGGTCGCAAAAAAGTCTTTGGACTTCTAGGGAATGTGATTCATGCAGCATTTTATAGTTTGGGAGTTTGGTTTCTCACAAAACCCCATCCCGGTTCCGGTCTCTGAGTGGCATGACCGAAGGGAAAAGATTGTGGCGGATGCTTTCTCTCCTGGATTCAGCTCTTACAAAGTCACGAAACTGGAAGCAGCCCCACAACACGGAGGTTCCAGCCCCGTCGCTCCAGCCCTGGTCTGACAAACCGAGCTCCCGCCCACGCCCCCACGGAGTGTGGTTCTTACCGTGGTTGTGATACCGTCTTGGGCCTGGTGGCATCTCCAGGCCCCGACCAAACGGTCCCGCTCACCGGGCGGGTGGCCAAACCGGGGCCCAGTGCCACCCGCCCCCCACTGGATGGACCTTCGCGCCCCCCCGGAACCCCCGCGCGCCCCGCGCGGCCGCGCCCGAAGAGTTCGCCCGGCGCGCGTGCTGTTCTTCGACTCGGTTTTTGGGGCCGGTGCGGTCGTCTGTGGTACGAGGAGTTGGTGTCGGAGAACCTGCGGATCTCGGACTGTGCGTGGATCACACGGGAGGACCGGTCGGGTTGCGGGTGGAACGCGGCGAGCGCTCGGGTGTGGCCTCCGGGAGGGGCTACCTGGGTTGACCAGAATGGACGACCTGACTAGTCGGTCAACCTAGCCTGGTTTGGGGATCGTGCCATGACCCACAGGCATCAAAGGGACGGGTGGGGACGGCAGAAGAGTGGGCATGAAGAACTGGGAGAGTGGACATTCAATTCTCAATAGGAGGAATTAACATCACCAAAGCCTGTCCTGTCTTCCTTTCTCCAGTTTCTGGCCTCTAAGTAGGTCTCGTCCGACATCAAACCAGACGGATGAATCTATGTAATTTCCTCGAGAAGCACCCTTCTACATAGGTACAGTACGACTATCATTCAAATCGATCAAAGTGCAAACACCAGCTAGAATGATGGCTTTTGCACTTAAAGTATCTTAAACCATTGGTCAATTCATCGGCCACTCCAAGATGTGCATGTTAAAAGGCTTGGTGTTATTTTCGAAAACATATGTGCAGATAGAATACAACTACCATGCAGATCGAATGCCGATAGAACATTGGTATAAGCTATGGGGTTTCGTCACATTTGGCCCTTGAGGCACTCTATCTAGCAACTAGTATCTAGTTGAATCTAGTCGATGTCCATGGAGTGCTTCACTGATCACTATGAAACCCTCCAGATAAACTAGATCAAACAAACCCGTTAAACTCTTGCCCTGAACACCAGAAATCGCGGATGTTCTTCGTCGTGATTGACACAACACTGCGGGCTTTTCTCCTCGCTGCAATCCGTGCACCACATCAATCCTCATCGCTGCATCCGAGCGAATGCCGGCCGAACACCGAAAGCAACGCCCAGGAGCCAGGTCCACAAGATGCAGCAGTGCTCTTCGCAGGCTCCATGCAGGTGAGCCTGGATTGCACGTCGATAGAAACCCACAGATGTTCCGCTTTTCAGGACGAGTTTGGATTTTGATTCCCCGTCCACAGTGCCACTCACATGGCATATTTGTTTGGCCTTTTGAGTCAAAGGGTGTCTCTTCGAACCTCTTTTTAACACCCGCCGCGGTTTTGGAATGGCAGGACTGGGCCGTCCCGAAGTACTACCTCTCCGGGAATGCGCGGCTTCGTGATGGGCCTGGTCTACAAGGCAGGCGTCGGGTGGGGCCACACATGGAGCTGAACGGGGAAAGATGCTTTGAGGGTCATTGGCTTCAGGCATACTGTGACCCACCGAGCAACTGGCCCTTTCACGTTTGATATCTTCTGGACACACATACGCGGTGAAACGGTCCTCGCGTCCTCCGGGAAACATCCAGGTTCGGTTTCGGACGGAGGCGGATGGATTCGGCGTCCGTTTTCCAAACCGGTTCCGCTTCGGGTCCCAGGCACCGCAGAACCTCTGCGGCCGTCGCACGTCGCGTGAGCAGAGCGACTGGGACCGACCCTCGTTTGGAGCGATCGGACGCTACGTTCGGGGCTCCTGGCATCGCTACTGGCTACTAGGAGCAAGAAGCTACTAGGAGCTTTTTGCATTATGTGACTGATACGACTGTGGGACAAATGGAGAAACATGCATTCTTGTGGATTCGGATTGGAATCTTTACCTCGACCCTCGTAGGTTCCTCCAATTCCATGGCACACCAAGACACCACGCTCCTGCCGTCATCTGGCGGCTTCGCCTTCCTTCGCCTTCCTTCACCTTCCTTCACCTTCCTTCACCTTCCTTCTCCCATCTCACATCACGTAAAACGTGTGATTCTTCACACGTTTTGGGCGCCCCGTGGCAGACACCGTTGCGAAGCTCTTGCAATTGCTGCGGCCTTCCAACGCACTGGTCACCGTTCGGGGGCCCTGAGGATGGGCGCGCGGGGGGATGAAGGACTCGTCTCGGCACCTGGGAAGAGCAAACATAGACCTTATTGAGTCTCCCGAGACTCATCATGGAAGTGGAGTTCAACACCCTGTTTATACAGAAAAATGGTCATCCAACAACCCATTCCGTCCACTTCCATGAGTATTCCAGGGAGTGGAGCACCCATTTGCCCTAAGATGCAATCAGAGGCTGGACAAAAACATTTTTTGCTTATATATGTGTGGTCTTCAGAAGGTCAGATTGCAGAGAACCATCTGTCCCACCTGGGTCAGAAAAGTGCTCATATATGTATGGTGGAGGCCATCGTTAGGTTGGAGGCCATCGCTATGAGCGACTGCAAGCTTGCACCTGGGTCACTGCCTTTTCACCCCAAAGCTGTAACCATCCGCCGAAGCGTGCATCGCCTCGCCCGGAACGAGGTGGTCTCAAGAAGTTGCGCTGGAACTCTGACGGAACCCTGGTGAGCCCTGGCTCTTCTTCTCCGTTTCGGAGGAAGCGTGGAGGGTTCGTCCCGGTCCAGGAGTTTGATCCTTTGGTACCTACTTCCAAGGGGTCAAGCAGTTGGACTACCCTGCCCGCAAAAAACGGCAGCAAAAAGAAAAACCACACGGCACGCATCAACAAAACATCATGCATCAAACAGAAAGCACATGACGGACGGAGGTCAGAAAGGCCAGACGGAAGCAAACCTCTTCTCGGGTGTTCAAATGCATCGGGGCTTGGATATTCTGATGGGTGGATTATATAAGTGTTGCTTTAACGATGTAGGATACATCAGTTGGTGTTCTGGATGGATTTTGTTGGGTTTTTAGATTCTGATGGTGCTTTTGGATGGGTTCAATAGATCTACCCATCCCAACCTTGTGCCAGTACTGCAAACTGAAGCCGAACGCCAGGTATGGCACGCGCTACAGCCTCAAGGACTTGACCCGCCTCCAAAAGGAGTGGCAGAACGCCTCGCTGGCGCCGGGACTAGGCTGGCTCGGGCATGCGACAGGCTTTCTTTTTACTCGGAGGTGACCAAAAAAGCTGTCGGACACCCAGGAACGGAGCTCGAAACGAACGGAGCTCGGACGCACCAAATGAGCAACTAAGCACCAATGGCTCACCTCAGTATGTAGAGATGTGGAAGAGATGGACATGCCACTTTTTCGGTTTTGATCATCGCTCAACTGGAGCACGCCATCGGAGAACAGGATGGATGCACCGTCAGTTTCGACCAGTCTGACCCTTGGACCCTCGATGGAACTCGACGAGGTTATCCTTGATCTACATGGTGTATCACCCCTCTCCATGGGAGGGGAGGGGAGGGGCCATGGTTTGGCCACACTTTGGCTGGTTTCGGGTGTGGTCTTCGTCACCTGCTTGGTGATAATCGTCCATCTCACACTGGAAAAACACATCACATATTCAATACACACATCGATACATCGATACATCTTCCCGGACCATTCACTCGGTGTCTCGCCCGCAACGGGCGGCGGGAAGATGGAGTTCGCCAGGCCTTCCGGATCCGAACCCCTTCTTGCCAAGGAGCTTGGAGTTGAAGGCAGGCGGGGGCAGGTAAGTAGGTAGGTAGGTAGGTAGGTATGTGTGTGTGCAGCTATAGGGGCTTTTTTGACGCGAGCTGCCTGATTGTTTTTGTTACATTTTTTCCGCTGGGTCTTCAGCACAGGGATGGGTCAGCCTTGGGGTCAGGGTCCATCGCTTGGGATGCCTTTCTTGTTTTGAGTACACTCTTCGGAAGTTGACTACTGTGACATGAATATCAATGTCCATTAGGTTGGAGGCTATCGTTACTAGGTTGGAGGCCATTGCTAGTAGGTTGGAGGCCATCGCTAGTAGGGTGGAGGCCATTGCTATTAGGCTCCTTTTGCTTGAATGTCAATGTCACTATGCTCCAATTCTCTGTGACGCAGCTGGAGCCTGGTCGAATTGCTCCCCGCACCAGCTGGGGTCTCGCCCTGATTGTTCTCAAGAGGCGGTCGAGAACCAAACAATCTCTTTTGCTTCTTTGGAATATCACCGCTTCAAATCGATCATTCAGTACTATAGGTTTTCACAGGTTTTCACCAGTTTTACAGCTCTTTGGAAGGGTTTTACGCCCTTGGGCGTTTTTTTCTGTGACCTGCGGCTTGAGCAACACCTTGAGAAGACCCTTCGTGAGCAGATGGATGAAGATCCAGAGTTCGATGCACCAGCCAGTCACCAGTGAGGACCGAAAATCCATTCGGAAAATCGTTATTTTTGGTTACCGAAGCATGGATCTGTCACTTAAGGGCATGGATCTGGCACGAAGGAAAGTGTTTGATCCCAGGTGAATCGCAACAGTTCTGGAAGTTGTTGAATACCAAAGTGATGTATTTCCATCCCAGGAGAGGGATCACATAGCATTCATGGCAGTTGGAAGTCTAGTGACGTAACTCCATGACCAAGACCTGCAAAAGACCGGCGAGCCGATCTCACAAGCATAGACGTGAATGGAGTACACTTTGACTAACATGGAAGTGAACGCCTTGTGTGTAGAGGAAAGTCGTTTTCCAGAGGCCCATTGTCCACTTCCATGTTAGTGAGTCAGAGTGCAATTTTCTGGAGGGAATCCGTTTTGGGAACAGGGGGGGTTCACTTAAATGAAAAAACGTGAGTCGATGTTGTTTGTCAAATGAATCCAGCTGGGGCTATGAAGCACCCGCAACCTGTCTTTCCAGCTAGCTTTCAATGCTCATACAGAGTATACCCTTCCAGTAACCCTCCGGTTTTGGATCCGACCGGGTCCCATGGGACACTGACACTTCCTCCGGGTCCAGATGTCTTGACTCTAAGACTCCCACCGTCACCACCGACCTTCGTCGCCAGGCGCCGCGGCGCGGCCTGCCGACGGAGCTGCGGGCCGCGTTCGCGGCACCGGCGAAGAGGAGCGAGGACGCCTGGGAGGCCTACTTCCGGCCGCTTGGTTGGTGCTGAAATGGCTGCGGGAAACTCCAAGGACGGTTTCGACATGGTTCGACCAAATTGATCAGGGTTGCTTGCAAGCCTCCGAAACCAATGGTTTGTTTTTGGCTTCACACATGATGTATTTTTTGCAGAGCAAAAAGAACATATAGAGCAAGAGATAGGAGGGGCTGGGAGAGTTTATCTGATATTGGGATTGCTTGACGTGGTGGGAAAAACCATCATCCACCCCATGTTCCGGTCCTTTGAATCATTGACATGCAATGGGGCCGGTCTCAGCGGACGAGCATCGCCGACCTAGGCAGGACACCGAGCAGCGAGCTCAGCCGGGGGTCGATGACACCGATTTGGGAACCTGAAATTGGAGGGTCTATGACCTGGATCTGTCTTCTTTTCTTGCCCTCCCATGGCTTTCCTGCAGCGGCATTCGCTGCAGTCAAGAAAACGCGTGGCAGATACCCTGTAACAACCACTCTTTCCAAGCACACACTTCGTCCCCTTTCACATCCATACGGTGTTCAACGCAAAAAAGGTATGAATATAGAGAAAAGCCTACTGCTCATCAATAGAACCAAACCACTTTGGACATCTCGGGAGCTTGCATGTTTGTTCCCAAGTCAGAGGCAAAAAGGGCTGGACTTATTGAAAGAGCTTAAATGGATTCTTAGAGAGCTCAGCGCTTGCCAGATCTTGCCATTCAAGGATCACCTGAACGACCTAAAGCACAGGATGATGAAGCCAAACTGACAATGTAACCACCTTTTTGTTCCCTCACACCATTCCTCATCCTGACACTACATCAAAACTGATGTGTTTCTGCCTCAAGAATCTGCCACCCAAAGAACATACATGTGGGTTTTCTCAAACACGAGTTCCAGATTTGGGTGTGTCTTAAACTAGGCAGACCGACCGCCGGCTTTTTCCAACCTCGACCAGGTCGTCCCAACGCCCGCGCTTCCGCGCGCGCGGGATCCGCGCGGGCGAGATCGACCGGAGGGTTCTCCGAAATTCAATCGGATCCATTTCCCAAGAGTTTCAAAGGGGTGCGATCCATGGAGGTTAGGGGCTAGGGGTATCCACTCAGTTAGGGACTAAACACCCCTTTGTGACCTTTTCTTTTCTTCGCTCCCTCGGACCTCCACCGGAGCTCAAGGTACGGTGTCCCCAAGGCCTTTGTCTTTGTAGAGCTGCCCACCTCCGTGCCGCGAGGCTGGGGAAGCGAGGCGACGTTCCCCCGGCCAAGCGGTGGCACCTGTTGGCTTCTTGTTACTACTAGTAAGGCACCTGTTACTACTAGCGTGGCACTTGTTTCTACTAGCTTCTTTGTTACGTAATGGTGAAAACCCCCGCGTTTTCGGGGTGTTTTCATCCATGGTTTTTGTGGTTCGAGATTCCTGAAGGAGCAATCCATTGAGAAGTGGAGTGGAAGCGAACATTGCAGGTTTTTGCTTCCACTTGGTCCACATTCTCAAGGATGATTCTTCCACTGTGAGGTAGACTGCGCAGTCGACATGGACTTATTTTTCAGTAGCTTCCTGGGCCGACGTTTGGGGACTGTAGCCAGCAGTCGGTGATGAACGAACGAACGGATGGTTCCCTGTTCGAATTTCTCGCCATGTGGCTCACTCTCCCGCTTGATCAGGCGACCCCAAGCGCACGGTGGCCGCTCGGCTGTACGAAGCCATCATCCAGGATGCCTTGCAGGCCGCGCCGGGCGGGACCGCGAGGTTCTCGGTCGGCGGTTGGGCGGTTCGCTTGGGCCAAGAGTTGGGCACCGAGGCTCAAGGTGCCCAAACACACACCAGCATGACGCGCCCCCAGTTCTCCGTCCATTTCCAGTCATTTTCAGCCCATTTTCCATGCAATTTTCACCACCAAGAACACGATTACAAGGATGCTCGCATACAAGAGTGATGCAACTAACGACCTCCAATCTTTGGTCTTCAATCAACGTTGTTTTTTTTGCTTAAGACTGGCAGACTAGAGTCGTAGCAGATGGATGTTTCTTTGTCTCGCTTTGATGACTTGGGTGTGGGTTCTCTTGCAAGGACGCTACGAACGTAGCTCCTGGCCTTACTACCAGGAACCAGGTTCGCTACGAACGGAGCGGTCGGACGCATGACCTTCGGGGCCTGTCTGTGCCGTGGTCTCACTGCGTGTAGATCCAAACGGGAAAGCCGTGAAGCTGTGAGAGTCCGCTGGGAGTCCAGCGCTGCACCACGGGGATTTGCTCGTTCGGTGCGGACCAACGGACGAAGGAGGAAGAGGGCTGAGCTTGGTGTGGACGAACATGGTGGGTTTCCTTGGCAAACACTGATTTCATGGTACGAATTTACGACTCCCAACTTTTTGTGGAACTGCCGGACCCGGACCCTGTCCAGACCAATTCGTTTTTTCGGGCTCAGAACGATCGGCTCCTAGCGACTCTTTCCAGTGTCCACAGGAGTCTTTGCTCTACAACGCGCAAGTGGCAGGCATCTGGCGCGGAAGTGGAATGTAACAGAGGTTGAACATTGGAAGACATGCATCCTAAGGTGGTAGAAAGGTAGCTCGAGAGGGTAGTTGTGCATAGGAGAACTGTAGAGGAGCGGAGTGCTGTTTTCGAAGATGTGATCCATTTTCGGTGGGCACATGGGCCACATGCATGTGGCATGGATGTTAACTGGACAAACTCTTGAATGGCAGTATAGAGTTGGAGCTTCAATATCTGGAGCGAATGGAATTTTGATCTCATACAATTGGAGATGGCTCAGAGACAGGCTGATCCGAATGGAGACCTGGAGGTCTCCAGGTCCACCTGGAATGAATTGGGGATGGGTCGTGACCCACCAAGGTCTGCCTGGTTCGCGTTTCCGACCGACACGGCCGTACCTCGTGCCCGGTCGGTGTCCTCGTGACATGGCCTGCACCACATGGAAGACGTGGCCTTCTCCGTTGGTTCGGCCCCTCCGCTGTCAGGTTCTCCCAACCTCTGCTCCATGGGAGGGAAGGGAAGGGCAAGAAGGTCACCGGAGTGGCGAGTTCCGAGACCCGTAGCTGCGAGACCCGTAGTCCGCCCCCATGTCGGGACCCGACTGGTAGACTGCGAACCCGGAAGACCATCACATTCATAAAGCCATCCAGGTTGCTGACGAAGATCCCTGAGTTGGATAGTCTCCTTGTGTTATGATTCGGTAATTTTGTGGGACTGGGACATCACCATGTACAGCTGTTCCATAATCGGATCAATCCTACAACAGCACGTGAACCCTGTTGGGGGGCCAGGCGAGATCATTGAATTCGCTGACTAAGAGGAAAAAGGCTGGTAGGATCACGGGGCCCACATAACTGTAAAAATACACAAATATTCATCTCACTACGTGTCCCGGTCTCCAGATTTCATTCTTCCGGGAAGTGTGCGTGGTGTGCGTGTGGAGTGTAGCATTACCCCCCCCCTCGCTTTGTAGGTGTTGAAATTCACCTCATCCCCATGGACCCCGTAGCGTTGACTCTCAAGGTAGAGCAAAAGGTAGCGCTTACCGGGCTAGCAGGGTTAGCTAGGTAGTTAGTACTATTAGAGCTGATCCTGTAAAATACAGGTTATCAGCCGTAGGCTAGCTAGATTAGAGCTATGGACCCAATGGATGACGACGTCCCACCGAATGCCTACGGAAGTGGCTTTGACATAGTTCCGAGTGTGCCCAATAGTTTGGATGCAGTTCAACGGCATGAACAGGCAGTTGCACAAGTGGCTGCAATGGATCCAAGGGTTGCTTCGGAGGTGTACCAAGAGATGCTAAATAGTGGTGGTAGTGTTACTCTTCAAGAGGCGGCACAAGCTACCCTAGCAGGTATGCCGTCAGCCACCGTAGCTGGTGCGCCAACAGTAAGCAACTTGTTGGCAATGACTCGGCTCAACGTCGTCAACCTGAACGCATCGCCAAACGACGAACTACGACGGGAGTTACAACAACATGAGTTTTTGCTCAGCGAACAAGCCAGGAGGGAAGCTGAAATCGAGGCATTGCGCTTCAGGAGTATTTACGAAAGAGAAGCTTCCGAATCTATAGCGGCAACAAAGGCTGCCGCAGAGCAGGCAATGTTGAATGTTCAACAAAGGGCCCAACAGCAGGAACAAAGTGTTCAGCAAATGGTCCAACAGCAAGACAATGTTGCAATCAAACGGTTGCAAGGTACATTGGAGGAGCAAAGGGAACATTTTCAGCAGCGGCTAGCTCAGGCGACAGCAGCTCATGAGAAAGTTGTACAGGAAAAGAATGCCATGGCGGAAGAAGGCAACGCTTTTGTTGACAAAATGAGAACTGAACATCACCAGTATGTTGAGCAACAGGAGGCTAAGCTGAAGGCAGCCGTAGAGGCAAAGGATCAGGCAAGACATTCGTCTGCTGAAGAATCCCGGATCGCTATAGAACTTGACTTCAAGCGAGAACAACTGGACAGTTCGTTGGCAATTGCACAGGCAAAGATCAAAACCCTTGTTAATGAAATGGAGGCTACAAATAAGCAACATAGAGTTGATCGGGAAACACAAGAGCAAACTATAGTTGAGCTTCGCAAGGACAATGCAATGTTGAAGGGTGAAATGGATGAGCTCAGGCGTGTCGTACAGTCCTTGACAGACAGGGAAGAGGAACGCAAGGAAGCGGAGCGCAAAGAGCAATCCTCTAGCCCCGTTAAGCCAGGGCCGCAATACCCTGAGCCATTCACACCTCCTGCTCGACAAGATGCTCACCCAATTGGTCAACCGCAATCTTTTGAACCTCTACGCACGGAAGGCACTGTTCCAGCAACCTTAGACGATAAGCCCCTTGATAAAGGTGGATCTCCTATAAAGACAGCTATGGATGCAACAGCGTCCGTGCGCAACACAGGATTCCCATCAATGTTCTCAGGGACAGGGGCGCCCGCAGCGGAACAGGCAACGGCCTCTACAGACAGGCAACAATTCAAACAACCGGATCCGTGGATGGAGTACACGAAGAAGTCAACACAATACAACTTCAGTGATGATCCTTTGTACAAAAGCTCCTTTAATCAGGAAGCAACAAAGACTAAGGATGATCGCAGAGAAGAAGGGCCGGCTTCTCAGGTAAGAACTCCACAAGACCAAGATTTGGGGGAAATCATCAAGAAGGCCTTGCTAGAAGGGTTTAAGGGCGCTAAAAGCAAAGACTCCGATAAGCCCAAGGCAAAGGAGGCTGACAAGATAGATCTCCCTGAATTCCCAAGTCCTGACAGGTACCGCACTTGGAGGGCCGCGGTTCGCGAAGCGATACGGTCCGCGTCCGATGACCCAGACGCTGCGTTCGCATGGGTGCTTGAGGTGTACGCTGTTCGTGAAGACAAAGCCAAGCTTTGTTCCGAATTGGCTGACCCAGGCAAGTTTCGGACCTTAGACACGAAACTACTTGCTGCTTTAACTAAGGTTGCCAAAGGTGAACTGTCTCAGCAGATCCTTAATTATAAGGAATCTGAGGCACAGCAAGGTAGGATCGTCCGTGGTCGTCAGGTGTTGCTCATGTTTGAAGTCCACTTCAAGACCAGTGAAGAAGCGGGTGCACTGTATGGCACTGAGGACCTCCTCAAGATCTCGCTTGATAGCGACGACTTGAAATCCTTTCTAAGAAAATGGGAGAGTGTTCTGACCGGAATGAGTCATGTCCCAGACCCGGCAACTCTCAAGGATTTGTTTTATAGAGAGGTTAGGAAGTCCCGCAAGCTCAGATTTGACCTTGATGTTTATGAACGAGCGCCGGAGGGAAGTAACGACAGAAGCTATGAATTTCTTATCAATTCTGTTCGACGTTACCTTGACAGGGAAAGGCTCAGGACCAATCGCGAAAAGATATCACAATCACACGCGGCAAAGTTCGCAAACCCGGCACCGCACGACAAGCGCACGCGAAGCCCAAGTTATGGCAAACGAAGCACAAAGGGTGACGGAAGCAATCAATGCTATGAGTATGCCAAAACTGGTAAGTGTAAGTACGGGAGCAAATGCAAGTACTCACACGACTCTAGCGCCCGTCCCCGCTCCCTTAGTCGGGAGTCGTCTCGTTCGCGTAGCGCAAGTCCGAGCAGCCGTTCATCGTTCAGGTCAAGCCGATCTCGAAGTTCGTCAAGACACACTTCCCGCTCCAGTTCAAGGAACTCATCAAGAAGCTCAAGTAGAGGGAGGAAATCTGACAAGCCATGCAGGTTCTTTGCAAAGGGTAACTGCAAAAGGGGTGACAAATGCCCGTTTAAACACGGAGACACTGCAACACCAGCCCCGCGCAGAAGGAGTCCCTCGCCCGCAGCTAAAAGGTCTAAGGACAAGAAATCCAAGAAGGACAAAAAGGACAAAAAGAGCAAACGGGAAAAGAAGGACAAAAGTCCAAAGGCCAGTCCATGTATTCAAACAGGTTTCGCAATGTCTTGCTTAGCAGTAACCGCAACTCGGACCCAAAAGAGTAAAGACTACTGGGAATTCTCCAAAGATGGCAATGAGTTGATTAGGCACCATTTGAAGCCTAGGCACAGGTCGTTTCTCCCAACACGTAAATCCTGTCCAGTTGAGTCATCTAGGTTGGAAGACCAGTTTACCATGGTAGTCACTGACTCAAAGGGAAAGAGTAGGACAATCAAGGGTAATTGGAAGAAACACCCAAACGCGAAACAGAAATTTGATTGGACTGGAAAGTCAATTTTCCGTGTTGTGCAAGAGAAGAGAATTCGTTTTGAATTAGAACCGGAGGTACACACCTTTCATGTTTGGAAGGAAATGTACCGGCATGTAGTGAATAAGAGCAAGGAGCGGAACCTGTTCCGGACCACTGAGGAATGCCCAAAGTCCCGCGAGTGTGACACTAAGGACGCCATTTTGGCAGCGGAGTCACTTAGGCAGATGCTCGTTTCGATGGATACTGAGGAGCCTGCGTGTGATTTCCTTTGTGAACATTCCCCAGAAGGCCCCGATGATTTGTGCTGCACGAAGTGCAGAACAGTCGTCGGAGAACAGGTGCCGTCATGTGCTCGCTTAACAGCGATGCCAAATATGGTTGGTATGGAGAAGTGGCTGGGTGACACTGGCACTGACCAGGACATCGTAGGTAAGGACTCTAAGACAGTCAACAGGGCCACCAAGATATTCAAATCCAACGAACCAATCTCCCTTACTACTGCCAATGGACCTATCACTGCTGACGAAGTAGTAGAGGTGATCTTGCCAGGGTTATGTGAATCCTTCAACCCCTACATTCTCCAAAGTACTCCCTCTGCACTTTCAATTGGCTTGAGGTGCTTAGAACAGGGATATGATTTTGTTTGGGGAAAGGACACTACTCCCATATTTCTTCGACCTGATGGACAATGCGTTAAATTCAAATTGCAAGGTAGGGTTCCATATATTGATGAAACATGTACCCCATTCTCAATTCCTGAATCACTGAGGACTCGCCTTACTAAGGTACTCGATTCCATCCACCAGTTCACC